ATTGTTTTATTATTCATATGTGCATACAAGGCTTGGGTCATTTCTCCCCCATGCCCCCACCCCCTCCCTTACCACCCACTCCACCCCCTCCCTCTCACCCCCACTCCCTCAATACCCAATAATTCTGTCAAAATTCTAAATTCATAAATATTTTTTCTCAACCACATCTAATGAATTATATTAAAAATATCTGCTGCTACTATTTCAATGTAATAAACAGGAAATATTTATAAAACGGAATTACTTTTCATCCATGCGGCTTCTCATTTTCTTCAGTTTCTGCATGATGCTGCTAGTCTCACTGCTGGAGATTGAGATGGGAGAAGGACTGCGGGTCTCTAGATCAGTTGGACCAGGACTAACTGCCTTATTATTCTTTGTATCATCATCACTATGAGAGTCCTGCAAACAAAACAAACACATTTCACTGAACTTTAAAAGGATCTTGAAGAGATCTTAAACACTGTCAATTTAAAGTTGAGTTTAATTCAAAATAATAGTTGAAATTAAGATAAGAACTACTTAAGGGACAAAATATATCACAACTTAAAAATGGTTAAAATAATAAACTTGCCAGGCAGGTGGCACAAGCCTAAGACCCCAGCACTAGGAAGGCAGAGGCAGGAGGATCATGAGTTTGAGGCCATCTTGGGCTACAGAGTAAGACTCTATCTTAAGACAAAAAAAGTAAAATTTATGTTATACACATTTTTACCATGAAGGGAGAAGAGGGAGAGCGAAAGAGAGACACACAGATTAAGCTGACACTATATTACACGTAATGATTAAAAAAAGAAAAAGAAATTCAAAGAACCTGAGAAAGAAAACCCATCCCCCAAAACTTTTGTCATTAGCAATCTGGTATCTAAATGTGCTCTCTGACTTTTTAAAGTTGAGCCATTCAAAAGGTATACAAAGTCAGACACTGTAACTATATAAAGTATCTATGTACAGACAAAAAGAATGAATAGAAGGCATACACTTACTTTAACTATACTGGAGGATGGATCTTTTTTCTTTAAATATTCCTTATGGACAATAATATTTTCACATATTTTTAAAAGTTTATAGTGAAAACATTTAGAAGCAACTGACTTTAAATTAATCAATAAATCCCTTTTGATGAACAAAAAGAAAAATTTTAATTGCTTAGTATGTCTTTCCCATAAATACACACAACTTATAAGAAAGATGGGTAGGGATAATCATGATTTTTTATCTCATGAAAAATATAAACAAATCCTAATGTCATCAGATGAAGAAGAACAAGGCAGGTGTACGTATTAAGGTAAAGGGAAACAGGGTCCAAGAGTGGGGTATCAGAAGCTGAGAAGGATGAAGGGAGCAGAAGGGCAGCCTATGTGGGAAATCAGAACTTAAATGGGGCAACAAGAATGTCTGTGAAAATGGATCAACACAGGAAGGCATGAGCACAAACCCAGTGAAGATAGCCTTCCCACAGAGAACTTCCTAGCACAGATACCAGAGTCCAAAGAGACGAGAAGGTATAGAGAAGGAGCAAGGAGACAGAGAATAATCCAATTTGGGGAGCCAAACCCAAACAGAGATTAAAGGGCATCCACATGGGGAAGGGGTGACAATGGTTATCTGAGATGGGTTCATCAGAGGAAAGATCAAATTATTAATTATATGTTAACTAGTCATCTATGAGAGAAGGGAGTTCCAAATAAGAAAACTCAGATGAACTTTGTGGTGCTAGATTGGAATTGGAAGTATCAGTATAAAATCCTAATTTGTGTGTGTGTGTGTGTGAAATGTATGTGACTACTGATCTCTATATATTCCCTATATTTGTCGCTTAGAAGAAGCAAAACTTGAATATTATGAGTATGCCTAGCATCCAGTTATGGTTTCTAAATAACCTTTCTCAGTGTATCAACTGATTTTAAATGCTAGAGCAGGAAAAGTTCAAAATGACCCTGAAACATTTTTTTGCTCCTGAAAGCATGAAAGTGCTCAAGACTGATGGAACATATAAAAAGACATAGAAATTGTATTTTGGAACTCTTAATGATCCAATTTGGGACAAAGTGTCAAATAAATAATGACAGATTATAACAGTTTATAATAACAAATTGTAACCCTGAGTAGAAAAGGAATTCATGAGTTAATATACTGATACAGATAAATTTGAATTTGATAGACAGGACACCTTTGCAGCCTCAAGATAGTTCCATGCAAAATACTTAGTAATTGTAAAGGGAAAGACAGTAACTTTACAGTGAAGTCTTGTAGACACCACCTTAATCAAATGATCAAGGCAATATCATCAATAATGGGATCAACCAAAATCAAGTGCTACCTGACTGAATTCAACAAGAAGAACACAGCATTACTTCTGTGATATTCCTGCCACAGATGCATAACCTCAATCTAATTATGAGGAATTATCAGACATAGCCCAGTTACAGAACATTCTACAAACAACTTTCATGTAATCTTCTAATGTGCCAAGGGTCCTGAGAGTCAAAGAACTCTTCCAGATTGATGGAGATAAAAGAGAATTTATGAAAACTAAATGCAATATGTGATTCAAAGTTCCTTTTGCTATCAAGAACACTACTGTGACAAGTAGAGAAATTTAAAAGATCTGTATGTAATGTATCCATATTAATTTGCTGGCAACTTACTGTTGCCAACTCAGGAAAATAAAATTCTTTGCACTATATTTGAAATATTCCTGTAAATTTGAGATTGTTTCAAAATTTACTGTGTATTTTAAAAATCAAAGTTGAAAATATTAGGGACTTTAAACTCTATAGTGTTATATAGTTTGAGGTTTTCTATTCTGACACTTTACAGTATCTTAGAGTAGATCCAAATTTCATTCTTATCTATGTATCTCCTTTGAATCTTGTATCATGATAATACTAAGACTGGATAGCTGACATACGTATTATATAGAGAGCAAAACAGTCTCTCCAATTAATTCTGAGGAATACAGTTTGATAAGCAAGACTAAAGCTTTCTGTCCCAATTTAGTTCCTAAGAAGAAAACATTTTAAGCTAATAAAGAATCATGTGCTCCTTTCAAAATATGAACATTCCACGGGAAGGGGCACTCTCACTATACATAAAGGCAGACACAGAATTTTATTTTACTTCATTACTGTATCACCCTATTAGAATGAACATATCCATCATATCATAACATGAAGAGGGATATGGTATTAGCAAGCAAGTGATACAGAAAATAAGCTAACAATAATTTTATATAATTTACCAATTTATTCTCCCCTGCAGACTTCAATTTCTCCTGCAGTTTTATGGTAGTCTGTTGGATTCTTTCTATCTCCTCCTGCTGCTTAAGAATCAGTTGTCTTTCCTTCCGAGCTGCCTTATTGGCTTCTTGAAGACGTTTTATTTCTGCCTAAGGTTTAAAGAGTTAAGAGAGGGACTGAGATTTGAAGGAGGCAAGCCCAAGTAATATTTTTAAATGAAAAATCCAATCACCACATATATTACAAACAGATATATATATATATATACACACACATACACACACATATAGTATTTCAAGATAAATGTAAAAATTTTGAAAAATTTCAACATAATGAGGAAGGAAAACAGCCAATCACTCTAAAATAATTTAAGATGATCCCTTAATTTAAATAACTGTAATTAAAACATCCTGATAATTTCACAGTACTTTTCAAATATAAAGATACCTTGCACATTTTCTCCCAATGTTACTTCATCTTTACATTTACGTGATTAACAGCTGCATATCAAGTGAAATAATCAATGTAACCATTATTCTATTGTTAAGCTTAGACCTTTGTAATTTTTCCTATCCAAAACAATGCTTTAACTGTTTTATACTATGGACCAGTTCTTTAAGCAGACATTCGCAAAAGTTGGATAAGTAGAGGGTGATGAAACATTTTATGGCCCTTAAGACACTTTTTAAAATTGTTTTCAAACTGGGCATGGTGGGCACACCTGTAATCTCAGTACTTAGGAGGCTGAAGAAGGAGAATTTTGAGTTCAAGGCCAGGATGGGCTGCATAGAAGATGCTGCCTCAAAAAAAAGAAAAAAAAAATTGCTTTCAAAAAAGGATTGTCCCTACTTGCCACCAGAAACAATTCAGACTATACTGCTGAATAATCTTTCCACATATTCTGGCTGCTAATTCAGTAAGTAAAAGATAATACACTTCACTGCTAATAATTGTTACAATTTGTCAGAAACAGGTTTTTTTGCATAAATTTACTTACACCTGTTTTCTTAGCAAGGTGGTAAGCATCAGAAAGACACCAAATCTGTTACTTTGTGTTTGACAGATTTTTTTTTAACTATCAGAAGTCCAAATTGAATTTTTAATACTCAGTCATATTCTTTCCTAGTTTTTAATTTGTATAGAAATATCACAAATTTACAATTTGTTCAGAAGTAAACTATTTCAGAGAAAACTAATCTATATTACCATGCCCAGCTGCTTGGAGGAAACCATTATCATGGGTTTGGTACATACTTCTAGCACATTCTTTTAAAATTCTTCTATAAATATTTGTACTTACTTGCAAAGAAACATATTGTTTAGCTTGTATGTTTTAAAAATAATCATATATACATATTTTCAGTCTTCCTTTTTTTTTTTTGGCAGTGATGGAAATTAAACCCAGAGCCTTGCATATTCTAGGCAAATGCTTTAATATTGAGTTACACCCCCCACCCCAGATATGGCTTTTGATACTTCTCCATGTAAATTTACACACATTCTAATGCTGAATAAAATGACAATGGAGTAATATACACTTCATTTGTCTATTACCCATATGGTTGGATTTAAGGTTATCTTCTATTTCTTTGCTATTACAAATAAGGCTACAATGGAGAGTCTTATCTTTTTTTGTTTCTTTGGTAACATGTATGAATTTCTTTGAAGAACATGCTCTCAAAATGTGGTCCACAGGGTTCTGGGGCTCCCTGTGACTCTTCCTCAGGGTCACGCTAATTTTATAATACTAAGACATCACTTGTTCTTTTCCCTTCTCATTCCCTCATAAGTATATAATGGCTTTGTATGCATTTTTAAGAGTAGCTAACCTGAAGTGGTGGTACACACCTATAATCCCAGCACTCAAGAGGCTGAGGCAGAAGGATCATGAGTTTCAGCCCAGCTTGGGTTACAGAAACAAGATCCTGTCTCAAAAAACAAGTAAGTAAAAGAAGAAGAAGAAAAAGGAACTATATTTTCTAAAACAAACAAAAAATAATGAAAAGAGTAGTTATTTAGATTTTTGCAAATCTCGCTGTCTGGCTTGATTCTTTTCAACAGGAAAATGTAGGTTTGTTGCAAATGTTAACATATTTCATTATATAATATCAAAAATCACATTAATTAATATCACCCTTAACCTCAAAAGAAAAATTAATTAGTACTGGATGGCAGATAGAAAGGTTTTCTAATTTTTGACTTACTTGAAAGCTTAATTTGGTTGAATACAAAAATGAGACCTGTTGAAACTGTTTCAGGAATGGGGAAGGGAGGGCAAAGGAGAATAATGGTGGGGTGAATTCAACTATGAAATATTGTAAGAACTTTTGTAAATGTCACAATGTACCCTCAGCACAACAATAATAAAAAAGCTTAACTTGTATTTATTTATTTATTTATTTATTGGTGGGATTGGGGTTTGAACTCAGGGCTTCAAGCTCACAAAGCAGGCACTATACCACATGAGCCACATCCCCTGCCTCAAAAGCTTAATTTTCAAATACCATCAGTTATTTTGTTTAAAGTAACAGACACACTTTTGTTAATTTTTAAGAAAATATGTCAAATAAACAAACATAAATAAGCACAGTTTGCCTATAACTCATTCTTTCAAGTTAACACATTATTCCATGATAAAAGGTAGCTAGTGTCTAATTCAAACACCTGTAACAATACTTTTCAGGTATCCAACAAAAGTACCCATTTCCATATACATAATATGAAAAATACATGTATGCAAAGGTAAAGATAATAAAATTAATCATTTTTACTACTTAGTCAGGACATTATTAAGCAAAAATTGCCTTTTTAACCTGGAAGTGCAGGGCAGTGAAGAATATAATGACTACCAACACAATCTAGTGTCCCTGATTTGTGCTAGGGTACCAGCAGCTTTACTCAGTATTGTCTTTCCATCATTTTCTATAAATGTTGACACAGTGAAAAGGACAAATTCATCCTGCAGTATCTGTTTTGGTTTTTTTCAGTGCTGGAGATCAAATCTAGGGCCTCACACATGTTCTGAAAACATTCTACCACTAAGCTATATCCTTGGCCCCTTCCTGGTATCATTATTATTAACATTTTATTTAGGATTTGCTAATAGTACAAGGGGTTTCATGTGAAAATTCCATACATGCAGTGTATTTTGAGAAAGTGTACCCCTCTATTATATTCCCTTAACTCCCTCCATTTTAGAAACAACATTTGGTGCATTTCTTTACACTATCTCCATATATATACAAAGTGATATTCTTTGATCATCTACGCCCCAAGTACCTCTCCAGTATCATTATGAAAACAATAAAACCTTCTGAACCTGTCAAAGGGTCTCAGGCACCTGAGTTCCATATAGCACATTATGAAACTTCCACTAAATTATGCCTGAGTTTCCCAACAAATTAATATATGAACTCACACAATTTGAGCTTAGAAGAAAGATGAGCACTTTCTAGGGAAATCATAAGCCAAAATAAATTTTTCCTCCTTTAAGTTGATTTTTTTTTTCTCCTTTAGGTTGTTTTTCTAAGGTATTTTGTCCTACCAACTGAAAGCTGACTAACTAAAGACACAGGAAAGCTTTGTTGTCTCTTTTTTGGATACAGTTGGGCCAAACTGCTTATAGTTATGACACTACCATTCAAAATAATTCTTATCGCTACAACTGCAATCAGCACACATACTTTTACTCTTGGGTATACAAGGCAACATTCCACAAGTATTCAGTTGGATCAAACAGTATTTTATGCTCAGGCTTGTAATACCAGTTAAATGGTGGGCAGAGATTGTGAGGATCATGGTTTGAGACCAGCCTGGCCTTGCAAAAAGTTAGTGAGATGCCCCCCTCATTGTATAAAACTTGGTATGGAGGAATACACCTGTCATCCCAACTATGTGGGAGGTATAAATTGGTAGACTGTGGTTTAGGTTGACCTAACAAAAAAACCACCGTATTCAAAAAATAACTAAAGAAAAAAGGGCTGGGGGCATGGCTCAAGTGGTAGTGGTAGAGCACCTACCCATAAGAAACATGAAGCACTAAGTTCAAACTCCAGTACCACCACACAAAAGTATTTTTTGCACATTTACTTAAAAAAATTGAAGTATTACTAATAGGAAAATTAATCACTCAAACCCCTACCAATGGGAATAAACATGTTAAACAGTTTGACATACTTATTTCAAAATTTTCTTTCAAAAATAAGTCATTACAGCCAAGCATGGTGGTTCACACCTATAATCCTAGTAACCGGGATATTTAGGCAGGGAGATTGCCAATTTAAGACCAGCATGGGCTACACAGTGAGTTTGAGGGCAGGCTGGGCTAAATATCAAGACTATGCTTTAAACAAACAAAGAAACAAGCAACAACAACAAAAAAGTCATTACAGATGAGACCAAACTCCATCATAATCTTTCTTCTTCCTTAGTTCCAATATGTGCTTTTGTACATCTGATGAGTGATTCCATAGAAGATACACTGCTCACTGAGTACCTGCAAATTTTTACATGAACAGTATACTATACATATTCTTTGTACATGGCTTTTCTAAAAAAAACCCCAACATTATGGTTTTAGCAAATGACAATCTATTGCTACACTGTCCAATATGACAACCACTAGCTTACCTCTATGTGACTATTGGCTACTGTATTTGATACAGATATAAAATATTACCATAATTTTAGAAATATCCATTGGACAGTACTGATATCTAATACATTCATATCCTGCAAAATTATACTTTCTTGCAGAAGTATGCTTCATTTCATTATTTTCTTACTAAAAAGTGAAGTTTTTTCCATTTTCCCCTAGCATATGTGAAAGTTTCTCTAGGATAAATACTGAGACAGAATTCTGAGTTATATATTCTACATGTTTTCAACTTAACTAGGTGTGTATGTTACACCAAGTAACAATGCCACCAGCAACACAGAACTGAAGTGATAAAACTTGAGACTCAGAGGCCTCAAATTCACATTCTTCTGAGCATCTGTCAAGTTCTGAAGCAGAACAAACAGAAGGCTAGGGAATTTTGAGAAATCTCTTAAAAGCAGAGCAGAAATCTCAGTCTCTTACGCTTAGTGAAAATGGTTTACTTGAGTTTCAGGTAAAATCCCTGGAAGGCCATAATCCAGGGACAACAGACAGAGCAATAGAATGAGGCTTAACAACTCTGTAACAAAACCTAGTCCATGAATAGATGATGGCTCAAACTGCATAGCAGAAGAAAGAAGAAATCCATGCTGAGAAAAGAAAACATCAGCTGAAGCCTTTGAAGGTAATTATACATAAAGTCCAACATTCCATAAAAAGCTACTAGGCATGCAAAAAAAAAA